GAGCCCATCGGGCTTTGAGCCCGGGCCCATAGGGCTTAATCAGGCTTTTTTGTTATGGCGTGACAAATTATTTATACAATTAAAAACAAAATTTGTAGTGTTCAAAATTACGCATGATGAAACACGAATTGATAAATGAAGAGTTCAAATTATTTAACAAACACATTTTAAAGGTTTAGTATTCAATAAATTATTTAATTTTCACAGGGTACAAAAATAAATAAACCGTTAGATAAATAAACTGCTAGTGTCAATGAGGTTTAGTAAACAAAAAACGTAGTTTTTATGAGCGAATGTCAGGTTGGATAAACTACTGCCACTAATCCTAAGTTCGGTGCGACTGGCGGTCAACGTTAAACCGGTGCTTTAAAACACTATCATCACTAGCTTATGATGCGGGGATTGATAATATCCTTGAAGTAATTTTCTGCATCAATGGAAATTGTGTGGCGCCACACCAAAATTTCAGGATATGCTGACCTCGCTTGATCCAATTGCCTCACCTTCTTTGAATATGTATCGCCTTGCAGAGTAAGCTTATTTTGTATTCTCCGTCCTTTCACACTTTAGATGTGCAACCCTGCTAGTAATTTTTTATTTTTTCACACCAATAACAACAATCATTTCCATGTTGAAAATTGTTGATATTGGAATTACTTTTTAATGAAAATCCTATGAGAATACAATAATGGATTGCAAGTATAAAATACAAATGGTGCGCTTTTAGCCAAACTTTTGACTCTCATATTACTCCTAACTCCACGAAAAATATTAGTCGGGCTTTTGAGTAAAGCCCGAGCCCGACTCAAGAAAAGCCCGCCCAGGCCCGACCCGATTCATGGGCTCAACTCAAAAGCCCGGGCCCGCCCAAGCCCTACTCAAGTAAAGCCCGCCCAGGCCCGGCCCGACTCAAAGGCCAAACTCAAAAGCCTGGCCCGCCCTTGGTGTCGCAGTGTCTAAACTGTTGGACGGTATCCAGACTACAATGTCTGCTTGGCTACAGGTATGAAACATCACACCTATCCCGAGGTATGAATTATCACACCAATTACACTATCTTGCAGCAAGCGAATTCGATCCGGCGCACTCGCATCCAACTGGATTATGAGGGACCCAAGGGGGCTAAAGTGAAGAACAAAGCTCCCAGGTTGCAAGTTACTGCGCCTCCAGACGACGATGACGGCGAACCCCACGCTCCTCCTCCTCCTGGCCCACAAGAACCACCGATGGATGCCGAAGACAAGTATCACCTTGATATGATCATCGAGCAGGGACTCGTGGCCATGACACAAGAGTTCGTGAGAGCCAGCATGTCGTGTTTCGGCCTTCTAATGGATGCGACATCTTTCAAATCTTTTTTTCTACATCTCAAATTTTGTGGACTGCATTGTCAATGCTATTTACCTAATCCAGCTCTTATCGGTGCATGGGATTATCGTCGCCATCCGCAGAGGTTAAAAATATGTATAAAGTTGTATGCACCATGAATGCATTAAAGTATTGTGCAAACAAAAAAGAAACATCGGTTTGAAGACTCGACCCGCATTAAAATTATCAACAAAATTTAATAAAGATCTATCTATTATATCCATGTCTAGGATCAAGCGCTGCTGACGTCGATTTTTGACGCCATTTTAGAAATTTGCATGTAGAGATATTGGGGTTGCGTGAGATTAAAGAAACTATTATTTTTAGATTTCCAAATTATCATTTGTTCAATATCCTCACCCTCTTTTTCCGCCTCTTTTTCCAAATTATATGTCTCGTTCATCATTTCCATCGCCTCTTTCGACTTCCTCGTAAATTCAAACCGAAAAAGGATCGTGCACAGGATGGGACCCAACCATATATTATCCAGCAGCTTGTCCGTCATGACATATTCCCCCGAAAGCCCCACCTGCAGCCCTGCCATCCTCAGTCCAAGTCCAACCAGGAAGTGGACCGTCCTTCCCAAACGAAACAGGTACAGACATTTGGTCACCGTGCGTCTCAACTTGCCCTGCATTTCGACGACCTTCTCCTCCTCCCACGACGTTTTGAAGGGAACGACACAAAACGCGCAGAAGACTTCGAGCGTTAATAAGTTCATTCGATGCGCTTTTGTCAGTAACGCGTTTTTCAAGCGAAACAAGATGTGAGGCTTAATAGAGTTAAATTTCTCCATTTTTTGCTTAACAAAATTGGACTGAGAGCCAGTCTTCTACCTTCACAAAAGACATTCTACGTGTAATTAACATTCAATTCGACATAAAGGGAAGATATAAATATTCCACCCTTGAGTTAGTATATGTCTTGACTTTCCCAGGTAGTAATTATTAATTTTTATAGGTAGGTGCATATGCATGTACATACTTGCTTACCTAGGATTGAAATAAAAGGTTACAATTTCGTGTTAATTGTTAGATACACCGTTAGTATTTCCGCCGTGTCGCGATAATTGGTACCGAGCTACGTGACCTGCAACTAGATATTTGATATATGTATGTACGCGTACGTAGTCAAGTACATACATACATACATATGTATTTTAGTGGAGAAAATAGCCCAAATATTTTAGACCTGAACACAAGATCACAAGAAGATTACTCCGGCAAAAGGTTACACTCTAAATGTGGTAAACTATTTAGACATTCTTCCAGCAAAGGACAAGTTCTTCAGAAGATATTACATATGTAAGGTGTAACGCGGCCTGCCCCGTGACCTAAAATGGTGTATTGTAATGTAATATAGTATATGTAATATAGTATAGTATATTGTAATGTAGTATATGTAATGGTGTACCCAGTAATTGCACCCTTTCTACATATGCATCTTTTTCTGCATATAGAAATCCGAGGGCAAAGTGAAAATAGAAATGATCAAATCGTTTCTATTTACAAGTTTTGATAAATTAAGGTTTGGTCAATGTCATGCACACCACGGTGCGAATATTATCTCACATGTGTAAGTATGCATAAGAATACGAATAAAGTCACACATTATAAGTCACGTAGTCACCTGTCAATCATATATCAATATATCTATGTATGTACATACGTATGTACATTATGTTCAGGTAGGCACATTTGTTCAGATGAGCTATTTACATATTTACATGGTTACCTAACATACCTAATTGCTGAGTTGGCTAACATACATAAGTTTAAGAAGAGGGAATTACTCAGCAGGCACTTGATGAATACAGTTAGCCATCTGATAAAACCATTAACTTTTATCTGAGCAGTTTTATGTAAGTGCCGGGATAAAAGCATCGGCTTTTATTACGGCATAAAGTTTGACTTTCTAAAAGCTTTCACACATTTAATTAAAATTCAATGGATAAACGGTTCGATGCAGGCGACTTAATTATCTGTGTCAATGCGAAATAAACCATCACTACTATTTACGTACACCTGTTTCTCACTGTATTCATATTGTATAAGTTTTGAAAAGTTCCATTGAAATGTAGCAATGTCTTTAAGAGAACGAATTCATCAAAGTGAGCTTGTAATTTATTAAACGCTATTTCACCCGTCTTGTCTAGACATCCTCGTGTTTTAGTTAACACTTGTGCATAGGTTGGTGCATGTGCATATAATATGAGAGAGCTGTTGCTGGTTTATCCGAACGAATAAAGGGGTTGTATATCAATTTGGGTCGAAGTCATCTTCTGAATTATGTATGTATGCACGTCTAATGGTTTGATATGAAAAATACAGTTTGGATAATGCAAAAAAATGCAATAAAGTACCAGCACACTTTGCTGTGCAGCAAAGTGTGCTAGTACTCAGGGGACGTTCGTAAACTTCATAACGCAAAGTTTTGATTTTTTGGACACCCACCCACCCCCTTTAACATGTGTCACATAGGCACGATATCATTGGGCCCTGACCCCCACCCACCCCCTTTGCTTTACGAAGTTTACGAACGTCCCCTCAATTGCACAATTGAGTCCAACAATTAAATAAGTCAAAAGGGTTAAGTTGAAGAGATTATTATCAATGTAACGTTTTATATTGGTATTCGTATGTAGTATCAAGACAGTGACAAAAAATTATAGTGCTTGCTTTTAGTAAAAATTGCGTGTATGAAAACTTTTATCAATTGCAAATTTTAATTGCGTGCATGAAAGCTTTTATTACGCCAAATGTAATGCCTCGATAAAAGTCAATTTTTCTATTAGTGACTGTCATTCATCAAGTAAATATTTAATTGCGTCTCCTTAAACTTACGTAAGTCAACACTGTAATTAGCATACCCCGGCCAAATATTTTTTTATCCTACCCTACTCGTGTTGAGCTCAACATGAGTAGGGTAGGATAAAAAAATATTTGTCCGGGGTATGGTAATTAGATATTATTAACTAGGTTACAATATAAACAAAAAAGTGTCCCTCCATGTTAAGTAAATATGATCACAGTTACCCCATTAATAATATTAATTTAATATTACTGTAACTGGGACATCCCTTGATCGTTTGCATCTCATATTAACCAACTCAATAGATAGTTGCAAGAATCTTTAAATCCGCAGAAATTCGTTTGGAAAATGGGTAAAAAAATAAACCCCAAGTTAAAGAGTTAGTTTCCACAGTTTGCAAGGGTAGGGCCGCCTACCTCTTTAAGAATAACAACTTCTGTGCAGTGGAATCCACTTACCTTTGGGTGCAATTAGTAATATAATAAATTTTCTTGGAGTATTTAAAGAATTGACATATAGTGGAGAACCACTAAATAAGTATATGTAAGAAAAGCATCTAAACCTGTCATCAAAACGAGTGCGAAGAGACTAATTTTTTTAATTCATAACTAATTTGACTTTTTTTAACGTGTAACACTGGTATAACTGGTGTAACATTCTCCAGATGGAGTTATTAAATGTATGTAAAGTAAATAAAACGATCATGATGTAAAATTATTTACTCGTACATTTATAATTTGTTGTAATCAATTTTATTTAAAATACTAACTTCATTATCAGTAATACGTATCATACGTAACGTATGTATGTATGTGGCAATATTTACAAACATTTCTTAATTTAAAAATAAATTATCACATTTCCGGAATCCGGAATGACATTCACATTTACATAGATAAATATAAAACATATTAGGACCCGTTTCATTCATTACGAAGTCTTACAACATCATCGCAAAGTCCTTAAACTTTATATATTTGCATTTCTTGCACAATTACTCCTTTCATCTTACCTATTTTGCCTCTGCAATTATCAAATTTATAACCTGTTCCGCACAAAAGCTCCCTGTAAGCATGGGTGTATTACGTTTGAAATAGTTGGTCGCACCGATCCGCACTTTCAGCGGGGCGCAGCTTTTCAACCATCGCATCGACAATTTCAAATTCTTGCTCTTTCCGATCGAGTACCGCCAATCATAAAGTAGGTTTAATGAAGCTTCATGCGCATCTCCGGCACTTTTGAATTCCGTGAGGAGACAAATCATCCCGTTGAGGGCGAGTTGGGCGTGGATCGTGTAGAGGGCGAATGATACCCGCCCAAAGTAGCGGAGCAACGTGTACCAGCCGATGATGAGGATGGTCGTCCAGGCGAAAATCATGGTGGGTGTGATCACGTGGGACATACAGTAATTCATTAGACTATTGTACACCTGATAGCGGCGGTAGTAGCGAAGCGTTACTTCACCAAAAGTGGAAACCTTGGTTCTGAAAAATATAAATTTTCCGTAGTAACGTTAAAAATTTCTTCCGAAAAAAATTAGGAATTAATGGGCACAAATTTTTAATTACTTCGCCGCTCGGAGCATAAACGTCTTTAATGAGAGTGCCAGATAAAACATGGTCGACAAATTCCCCAAGGTTCCAACCGAGATAATCTGATACCTAAATATTGAATGAATAAAATTGAGATGTGAACAACTTCTGGGGTAACTTTCCACTACGTACGTTTGGATAACATTAGTATGAAATACATAAATAAATCAATACATAAATAAACTGGAAAAAGACACAAGTAAATAAATACCAGAAAAAGGTCTCGATGACGCCAGAGGTTAAGACAATTCTGTGCTCCTGGTCAGTCGATGGGACCCACGTGGTCGAATTGCAGGGAAGGAACTGCCACGAAATGAAGGCGGGTTCGCACGGATTTAGCATCGAGAACATCCCAGCCGCCATGGGGACTGAGAAGACGCAGGAATAGGCTGAGTACGTGTAGACTTGCCAGGCCTTCCCAAAAAATCCTTTAATGTAGATGGTATTCAAACCTGAGAAATATAACATTTGGCAATTTATTTAGTAGTTGGGTGAAAACTAGTTTTCGGTGGACTTAAATTAAACTAAAACACTTAATGTTAACTCGGGATTTACCACTACTTTTGTCATCACTTTTCCATTTTACTTTCCATTTGTCGAATATTAACTCCAAAGGCAAGGCTACAGTAATACTCAAGGATTGCCAGTGGTTTTACTTTGGGATATTTTACTCAACTTTCACTTCAACTTTGCGAGAACTTTTCTGTTATAAAAGTACGTACCTGTAAAAGTACATTTCGATTCTAATTTATGGAAAAGTGAAAGTAATTTTCACCGCAAATGTTTTAAACTGCTTTCATGCAACTATTTAATTAGAAATTGAAAGTTCATCATAAAAATTACGAACGAGCAGCTAATATTCAAAAAAAGTTAATTGATTTTAATTATAGTTAACTGGTTTATCATCAAAACCTGTGGTTTTCATCTTCGAGTTGTTAGCCTAGCTAACCAAATTTTATATTTCGGTGATTTTTACAAACCTATCGTTAGATTATCAGTTTTAGATTATTCGACACCATTTTCATAAGAGCAACCAATTTAAGAAAATAATTTTGCTACTATAATAGATCTTGTCATATTAAGTTTGCCACATAAAGAAAAAGAGAAAGGTGAAAGCACGGTGAAAGTACTAGTTTTCGTTTTAACTTAAAATTACCAATGGAAAAGTAATGGGAAAGTAAAGTGAACGTTGATGGTAAGGAGAAAGTAGAAAGCATAAGTTAACAACAGGCGTAAATTCCAGAAGATTTGTGTATTCTTAAGATCACAGATATCGCAAAATTGACATGTACTGCATATATACATACATAAGTACATCAAAAATCCACTACATATGTATCATTAAATCGTTTTTTATAATGCTAGAATTTTTTTAAAGTCCTCACCCTCTTTTTCCGCTTCTCTTTCCAACTTATGCGCCTCGTTCATCATTTTAACCATCTCTTTCGACTTCCTCGTCAATTCGAACCGAAAAAGGATCGTGCACATGATTGGACCCATCCACCCGTAATCCAGCAGCTTGTCCGACATGACATACTCCCCCGAAGGCCCCACCTGCAGCCCTGCCATCCTCAATCCAAACCCCACCAAAAAATGGAACGTTCTTCCCAAATGAAACAGATACATAAATTTGGTCACCGTTCGTCTCAACTTGCCCCGCACTTCGACGACCTTCTCCTCCTCCCAGGACATTTTGAAGGGAACGATGCAAAATGCGCAGAGTACTTCGAACGTGAGTAAATTCATTCGATACGCTTTTGTCAGTAACGCGTTCTTCAGGCGAAACATGACGTGGCGCTTAAGGAAGTCCATTTCTCTCATCTTTTTAAATAAAACTAAAGGGGACGCCAGTTTTCTAGGTTCACAAATGATATTCGACTCTTTACGAACGTTCCGTTCGTGTATCGTTCTGTTGAGGGATGATGCGCTTGCTGAAGGTAAGTATTCCACCCTGGAGGAATTATGATTATTTTTAGTTGATTTCTGATAGCCGCGAGACATACGGACTTTTGTAGTTTTGTGACTTTCTCCCGCAGCTATTTTTAATATTTACAACTATGTTTGCACGTACGTACATGTACAGCGAATACCTGTTTCTAGTTGTTATACAAAAGGTTGCAATTTCATGTTAATTGCAACATCTTCAGTATTTGCATGGTGTCTCGATAAATGTTGTTTGCGTGACATGCAACATGCAATTATTGAAATATGTATGCATTTTAGCAGAGAAAGTAGACAATTGTTTGACACAGTAGATAAATTCATATTCTTGAACAGGTTGCACTACTTGGACAGTGAATTTAGAAACAACTGGATCTCTTTTACTGGTAAAACTCCGCATGTGAATCGGATTAAAAGTTTAGCTAGGAATTTAACGATGTTTTTTTCTTGCACGCAAGGTAACCACTCAACCAAGCTAAAATTAACTTCTTACTTGCTAACCGTTTTAACGAGAGGAACAATTCATAATTTCTTCTCGGGTTAAAAGGTTATAACTCAAGGATGATAAGCTTAATTATCTGACAGTGGAAAACAATTTCACAATGGAATAGATATGATGTAAGATGAAGGGCGGAACTTCTCGTTACCTGAAATAGGTGTGTTTGTTCCAAGTAGTTCCACCTTTTCTGTCTTATTCTTCAATTATCTGAAAATCATGGGTTGGTCAGGACGGAAATAGACCCGATTTGTAGATAAAGGGCGGTATCGATTTTGCACAAAGTGCACACAATTGATGTGAATATTATGGACTAAGTTGGCATTACGGACAGTATGCATACATTACGTAAATATGTTTACAAAACTACTTATGTCATACGTAACAGTAACACGACGTGGTACGCGTTTCACCATATTGAAATTGATACATATGTCTGCTATTTAGACACATGGTTTAACATACTAAATTGCTATGTTGCTTTTGCTAATGATAGTAGTGAAGATTCATGTCGCTTTGATACAGGTGATTTAAAATGCCTGCATGCAACCTTCTATTAATTACATATATGAATGAAAGCTTTTATCAAGATGAATTTAATGGCCTGAATGAAAGCTTTTATATCGGCAATTAAAATTGTCTCGGCACATGTGAATGCTTTTATCGGGTCTGGGGAAATCGTCGAATAGGATCTCGTCGAAAATTCAGGTTTTGGTGGGAACAAATTAATTAGGTAAATTAAAATTAAATTACAAATTATAAAACCTATCAGTACAGCTTTGCTTAGCCCGAACCAGGATTAGTAAACCCATATTTCTCAGTATATTTAACTTCATATTATTTCATGAGAAAGCAGTAAGGATCTCTGGTCCAAATTTCAGCTTTCTACGTTAATTTCTAAAAATCGATATGGGTTATCCCATAGGGTCGCGCTAGATAAAAATTTCACCAATTTCATGTCACATTCTTCCATTAGGACCCATAAGCAACCTCTCCACCAAATTTCAGCTCGATATGACAATTTCGAAAAATCAGTACGGGTCACCCCCTAGGGTCCCTCAAGTTGAAAATTTTTCCATCTTGAACTCATTTTTATCTATTACGAGCCATTAGCAACCTCTGTGCCAAATTTCAGCTTTCTACGACAATTTTGAAATTTCGGTGCGTAATACCTCTCCCACTCCGATGACCCCCACCGGTCCAAAACTTTTCTGATCGAACCCATCTTCGAACTCGGTCGTTGCATTGCCCAGATACATGTCTGTACCATATTTGGTCCAAATCCGTCAACTCGTTCGAGAGTTATCGAAAGACAGACGAACAGACGGACGGACGGACATGACGATTACATAAGCCCTGGTTCGGGCTAAAAATTGAAAAATTGAAATTCGTTTGTAATGCATAGAACCTTTGAACAAAAGCGTGTATTATCCTATCCACTGGTGTCCTTAGTTTGTACTTTGATTGGACTTTTTTTATGCTATTGATTTCATGCATAGTTGCTTCATCATATTCGACATGAAACTCAATTTTTGGAGTAACTTTAACTCCAAAAGAGTGAGTAACTTTTCACGAGTATTGAAATTTAAAAGAAACTGGGATTGTAATTGAATTCATATTCAACTACAAAACAAAGCAACCATCAGAGTTCAGAGTCTGATCATCAGAACTCAAGAATATGAAAAATTACTAAAATTCGAGCAAGATAGGATTGTTGGCGTAGATTCTGGTACAGCTAGGTTAGCATTTGGTTACTCTTTGAGGGGGTGCAGCGGGCAAACTGGGACCCACTGACCCCAACGCTTCCAACCAACTCTTCCCCACTTTTTTCACATTCATTCAGTGGGATGAAGATCTGGTATTTGCAACGGCGTGTGTTTAAAATTATGTGGTCCAAGTCAATAGAACCATCGTTTCTTGGGAAAGTTTGTGTGATATTTGGAATTAGTAAAAATATTTAATGTCAAACTTGAAAAATGGGCAATTTTCCCCTTTGAAAAGATTGGAAGTGAGGTTTGCTTACTCCGCTTGGTAGGAATCGCCCATTTTCATAATTTGAACTCTAGGCTTTAATGTGGGCTCCACATACATAAATAACGTCTAGTTTGTCACGAGGATATATAACTCTTTAAAATAAGAGCACCTCCCATAACAATGCTACTCACTAATATGCACTTATACAATAAAATGTCCGTTTACTTATTTATGTTTGGATGCATACTTATCCCAGTAAGATAATGCGCATGCTGTATAAAATCGAAACCCCCCTAATTTACAAATCGGGTCTATTTTCGTCCTTATCAGCCTCTGATTTTCAGATATAAATTAAGTTACTAAAGGTGGAATTACTGGGTATAAATATGTGCAACTATTGACATGTATTTTAAGTCACGAGAAATCTTGCCTGTACATCTTACATACATATGTACTACTTATCTGCCCAAGGAAACGGTAAGAATATTTAGTTTATCATCGTTAAGGTATCCCCTTTTAAAGCGAAAAGAAGTTATAAATTGCACCGCTTACTAATTAAGACACAGCAATAAAGAGTTAATTTTAATTTGGTCTGCATACATATGTAAATATAGGCTGACAACCTCAGATAATGAAATAGGAAAAGTCCTACCAGAACTTATTTACATAAGTGCATACACACCTCTAAATATTAATATGTAATAGCTGAGTGGGAAAGTCACAAAATGGTAAAACTCCCCTGCAATCTAGGTATACTGGTAAATTTGGGATGGTTGGGTATGCATAAATACATGCATTCATAAAACCGGGCAAAACTTGGGAGTACAATAAATATTGCATATAATATCTATTATATATGCAATGTGAGAATATGTAAATTGGGAGACCTACTTTATTAGAGGAACGGGGGAACAAGAACACATTCCGGTTGGTAAAATTTTTCCAAGCTTATTTATAGAAAGGTAAGTCTGATATGTACATACCTTCGTCTTGCTGGCTGGACTGACCTACGTCAACTGTGGAATTGTACATATGCCTATGCACACATGCCACCACTTTTACTTTACAAACCAAGGGAAAGTGGGATGGTTTTTTACTTACTATCTTTCTACTGCGAACATGTATGTAAATATGTATGTAATTGCCAAACTCGTTTAGTGGTAATAAATTATTTAATTGTGACGTTTGTAGGTATTGTGGCCCGGTTTTTGGCAAACGTAGGCTTATACATTATATCGCTAGGAAGAAGCATTATTATCCAGAAAAATTGGAAACAATGTGCGGGAATAAGTGTGAAATATTAACTTTTAGTACGCACACAATATGCACAATTATGTACATAGATAGCTGGTATAGTCACGCAGATATTGATTTCTCGAGATTAAAGTTGCTATCACTTGGTACTAAAGTTATAACGGCTCGCACAAATTGGCTCCCTACGCGTAGGGGGCAAATTTGTAGGAATGTACTACAGTGGAGTGATATTGATAAATATTACCGAGTAGTTTACGCGGTAATACTTATCAATCTCACTCCACTTTAGTAGATTCATCCTTATCAATGTAACTTGGTTTTATTTGGATACTGGATTTCAAATCTGTACGAAATTTAGTTTACTATTTCCTTAATTTGTATATATTTCAGCCCAAGTGTATGCACTTACAGAAATATATATGTTCTTATTTAGTAGTTCTTACACTCTTAAAAATGCAGTATTAGAATACCAAGCGGTATCCACATACCTACATATGTATGACTCTAACAGCGTGGTATTGATAGATTTGCGGATTTTTCCAGCCCACGGACCCCAGCCCGTGGGAGTCCAGCCCACCATTTCTAGCCCGTGATTAACTCCAGCCCGCAATCTCCAGCCCACCAACTCCAGCCCTTAATTATCTCCAGCCGTAATTATTTCCAGCCCCAATACTAAATGAATATCAAAACGGGATTTCGAGTATGCTTAGTCCTTGTGCCACCACACAAGCTGGAAAACCGAGTCGTCAGCAAGGGAGCCACACCCTTGTACCCCATTTTGGGTTATAGTGCAAAAAGCAGTCATTATATACATCTGGAGAGAAAATCCAATCGAGCTGAAATTTGGCAAAGAGGCTGCTGTTGATCCCTAATAAAAGGATATGAAGTGAAATTGGTAAAATTTTTGTCTAGAGCGACCCTATGGGGTGACCAATACCGATTTTTAGAAATCGTCGTAAGAAGTTGAAATTCGACAGGGTGATAGTTGGTGGATTCTCATGAAATAATATGAAGTCAAATATGAACAAAAAGTAACCAGAGGTACTAAGGGGTGACCAACACCGATTTCTAAGAGTTTATACCTAGTCTAACCATAAGAAGTGATAGTAGAGCGTAGTATTTGACCTGGTCAACATAAAATTAAAATGTATGTTGCAGTATGTACCTGCATTCAGTGGCTATCATTGTTGTTAACCTCATTTGCCTGACTTCACGAGGTCAAAAGCTAGAGGAGCTTTACCACACGCGCGCGACAATAAGTTTTCACATTTTACGCGAGACAAAAAATTCACAATGTTAGATATAGGGTAGAAATTCAAGGACAACTACGATCTGGTTGCCCAACCTATTAAATTAACCCTAGGGACTGTGACTATTTATGACATAAAAGTTCCGGTTGTCCAATGTCAAGGAGGACTACAGTGATGTCCGAAGCTTTGAACGCCAGAATAGCGCAAAATCTCTATCTGACGCCG